TGCGTGTGTGTGTGTGTGTGTGTGTGTGTGTGTGTGTGTGTGTGTGTGTGTGTGTGTGTGTCTGTGTGTGTCTGTGTCTGTGTCTGTGTGTGTCTGTGTGTGTCTGTGTCTGTGTCTGTGTGTGTCTGTGTGTGTGTGTGTGTGTGTGTGTGTGTGTGTGTGTGTGTGTGTGTCTGTGTGTGTCTGTGTCTGTGTCTGTGTGTGTGTGTGTCTGTGTGTGTCTGTGTCTGTGTCTGTGTCTGTGTCTGTGTGCGGGGGGGGGGGATGGTGCACGGCAGTCTGTCTCTGCCTGTCCAAAAGGCGTGGACACGTGTCCCTCTCAATCGTGTCGTTGTCGCGCCCGCTTCTGGTCATTCCCCTTGTGGCAGAATCGGACGGCCTTTGTGGTGCCCGCGTTTGAAACACCGCAGTATCGCCTGCCTCGATTCGGGACCAAAGCTGCGTTGCTGGAGGCATGGGACTTGGGGCTCTTGCGGCCGTTTCGTATGGATCTATGGCCCGTGGCCCATCGCCCTACCGACTATCACCGCTGGTCAGGTACAACTGACCCTTATGCCATTGACTGGCAGCCCGGTGCGTTGGCGCACTATTTTTTTTTTTGAATGCTCCCGTCTGCTCTCTCCTGACATGACCAATAAGACCATCGAGCAGCTTTTCATGACGGTTGTTGACGGTGGGTGATATAGACTACGAGCCCTACCTGCTAATGTCACCGCATGCCCCGCGCTTCGACGAACGCTTCTCTGGATTTGGCTGGAATAAGGTTGGTGTGCTGCTCAATCGATGCGAATGTAGGGCCTCGAGCAGAAGCTAAGTTTATACCGTGTCCCTGTTCTCCACTCGCAGGTCTCGCAAATCATGGAGCTGCATGTCAGCCACCATCGCTTTGTGGTGGTGCCTGCGGCTTGGGTCATCCACAAACCCCACACCCCCTCGCATGATCTAGCTGCTTTTCGCTCGGATCCAGGGTATCGAGCCTGCCTGCAAGCGCTCAAGGAAGTGTTCCAAAGTGAATTGGCTCAAAGATATGGAAGTGGTGTATGACCCAAGCCCTTTATTTTTCTTTCGTCACATTGACTATATTCATGCCGCTGCGCGGCGTTTGGCTAAGCATGTGCACAAGGTGTTTTCGAGCATGCCCTTAATGCGGCAATTTTGTCGCGTCATGCGTCAGGGAAAAGACAATTCAGCTCAGTATTCAGTTCGCCTTTGATGTCAATTGATTCGTCATTGGGTTGGTGGCCAGGCTGTGTTCATTTGATCAAATCTGCAGCGGACACCCACTCATTGGGAGAGGGGGCGCGGTGTCATGAAGTGGCGAACTTCGTCATCCGTCACCTTGGCGCGAGCTTCTTGATGCTGGCGAACCACACCCTGGAGCACCTCGATCAAGCGTGACTTGATCTCAAAGGTCGTCATTTTTCCAGAGCCATACGCCTCGCGAATTCGCTCCAATTCCTCATCGTCCTCCAAGAAGAAGCGCAGGTACTGATATGACACATCCACATCTACTCCAACGCAATCGAGCAAACATGTGGCGCGTCTGAGTTGAGGTCACGCTCTCAACTTTTTCGAGCCCTAGGCAAACGGCACGTACCAGTATTTGCGCCGCGCTCGCGATGCTCAGCCAAGGTTTCAGGAGCGCCCGAAAATGCGTGCTTGTGGATCTGAAAAAAAGATGAAAGGAAAAAGGGTAAAAGAAAAAAAAAAGGGGGAGAGTCAAAGATGCATCAAGCTGACCAGGTTGACTGTTTCTGTATCTTGATTCAAGCCTGCATGACCGAAGCAAAGGCCAAAACGCATGCCATACCTTATCCTTGATATCTTCAGGCTTATCCGTCAAGAAGACAGTGGTTGGCGACTTGGTGCTGCTGCTCATCTTGGTCGAGCTGCCCGTCATGGCTATGGGCACAGACGTTTGCCCGTGAGAGTCAAAGTATGCCGAGGTGTGAATGTGTAGCACTCTGATACACCAAATCAACGATGACGGCGTGGCACCACGAACCAGGGAAGAAGACAGAGTGGACGAGGGCCGGCTTTTCCTCGCGAAGAGCAGGGGCGACATCACGCGTCATGCGAAAGTAGGGATCCTAAATCAGAGTTGAAGGCAAGTGAAGCAACCCGTGTCAACGCAAGCGCGCGAATTGAGGTAGCCAAGGTCAGGACAACAACGATAACAGCCAAATGTACCTGATCAATGGCACAGGGGATCAGGCAGGCCGCCGATTGCTGCAACACGCCAGGAAAGGACCTATTTGGCAGGACAATGTGCGTATGAGAGTGCGATTCGTGCGCAAAGTGCTATTGCTGTCAGTAAGTGACTCTGAAAGGGATAGCAAGTGCACGATGACTCACGAGGGGAAGGATGGGCTGGCTTGGATGGCAGCAAAGGAGATCTTGCCAATGTTGGCATTCTCGTCGAAACCGAAAATTTTGCAAGCCTGATGCAGGCTGACACGGCGTTGTATCCTGAGCACATTCTTGTAAAAGGCACCGCCCATGATGTCCGTATCGGCAAAGATGTAAGTCTTCTCGCGGTTGAAGCCGCATGCGATGATATCCTTGGCATTCTCGCGTGTCAACCTGCATGCGATGCGCGACAGGGCGTGGTTGTGTAAGATAGGAGCGGCGCGTTTGTTGTGACGGGGGAAGGTCTTGGCGGAATGAGTGTCAACGTACGCGAATACACCAGTCACAGGATCTTCGTCAAGCGTGAGTTCAGATTTGAACAAAAACTTCTCGTCGTCGGTCATTTGGATGACAAGTGGCACGTCAAAGACATCTTGCAGGTATCTGAAGGGACCATGCAAGAATGAGGGGGGGGGGGGGGGGGGGGGGGGTTTTAAA